AGATTTTTAAAGATTTTTCCTATATATTCCTATGTAAAACTTTGATCGCCCATTGTGGCCCCACCCGACCCCCGGGGGTCATGATTTGAACAAACTTGAATCTACACTACCTGAGGATGCTTCCATGTAAGTACGACCAATCATGGCTTTGCTGTTCTTGAGAAGAAGATTTTTAAAGATTTTTCCTATATATTCCTATGTAAAACTTTGATGGCCCATTGTGGCCCCACCCGACCCCCGGGGGTCATGATTTGAACAAACTTGAATCTACACTATCTGAGGATGCTTCCATGTAAATATGACCAATCATGGCTTTGCTGTTCTTGAAAAGAAGATTTTTAAAGATTTTTCCTATATATTCCTATGTAAAACTTTGATGGCCCATTGTGGCCCCACCCGACCCCCGGGGGTCATGATTTGAACAAACTTGAATCTACAGTACCAACCAGACCCAACCTGACACCTAAGCAGTCCCAGAAAGCAGTCCCCGGGACTGCTTTGGGACCGCTCTGGGACTGCTGTGGGACTGCTCTGGGACCGCTATGGGACTGCTGTGGGACTGCTCTGGGACTGCTCTAGAAAGCAGACCCAGCAGTCCCTCGGACTGCTTTCTGGGACTGCTTTGTTCACTCATGCATGAAAAAGGTTCTGAGTGACATGATAGCTCCGCCCTTTGTGTATTCTGAATTTGCAGGCTCCCTGTTGTTGTTTTGTTTACTTTCAGCAGAGAGGTGTTAAAGATAAAGAATAAAAATACCAAGGATTTCTTACATTTTAATAAAAAGAGATAGATATACATGTAATTACTAAATGTCTTCAGGGGTTGTAAATTTACACAATTGTAGTCTAGAATTAATTTTAAAAAATGAAATTAGTTAAAAGGGAAGTCAGGAGATGACTTTTATCCCTTGAATTAAACTTAAATACAGGTGTTTGAAAAAAAGATATCTAGGCCTATTTAATTAATTAATGCTGTCAAGTTACAGTATGTACTCAAAGTTTGCATTAGCACTATTTTAAAAACAAACAAACAAACAAACAAACTTGTCATTACAATAAGATATTCAGAGGGACATACTGTTCTGGATTTTTTTTTTAACTTGAAAAAGCTAAAACCATGCTAAAAAAAGAGCATTCCATGTTATTTTTTACCGCCCTCAAATAAAACCTAATAATTTATTAAATGACCATGAAATAAAATTGTTCTACCATTCTTCAGTCATTTAAACAATTATATTTGTGAACAATTACTGGGGGATCTATTTATGAATTTGTTTTTGATTTATAAACAAGTTATTAAGTACTAATGACCCTCTGCTCCAAATTTCACGAAAATTTTTTAAACTTCCCAACATTGATTTTCATCAAGAGCTATAGCATCAAAATCAAATGAAAAATAGTATGAGGTACGAAGCGCTGCTTATTTTTTCATAAATGATTTTTATGTCAGATCATAATATGAAGAAATTTTAACACAGAGATAAGAAAGAGTAATAATTTATTATCACAACATAAAATTAGAAATACGCGGTGTATATGAAAATAATATTTAGTGTCATACTTACTAAATTCATATTAGAAAACATAATGAAGCGCTGCTTCCTAAGTCAGAATATCACAATGTTATATGTGGTTGTAAGAAAACAATACATCTGTTAACAAGAGTTATCTTTCTTATAAATGTTTTTTTCATTGGAAAAAAATGTAATACTGATAAAAATTCTACATTTGGTACTTGATACATTAAACCATTTTTAAAATGATCCTTAAAAAGATAGAACTTATTCAATTTTTAAAGGTTTTAAAATTGGATTTAAATGGGTTTTTTTGTCAAACATAATAAAACAATTTGAAAAGTACAGTCAAAGGAAATAGAAGACAATGTTTCCATCATAGGTTAAGTTTGATTGAATTGACTGCTCAAAGGTCTCGATAATCAAAATCTGATAAAGTAAACTATGAGTAAAACTAGGATATATTACTTGGAAAGTTATCTCTCTTATCAGAGGGTCGGTCCCCCTTAAAAGAGTAAATTTATAAACTTTTTTTAAATTATTGGGAATTGTGACTTATTTCTTATTTGTTTTGTTTTTGTTTTCCTGGCCGATTGGCCGATTAATAAAAAGCAATACAAATGTATAAAATGGTGTCAACACCTGAGGTTTCAATCGCCTTCGGGCATGATTAGCAGAAAGTCAATGCATGTTATTTGGGTATCAGTGTTACACATCACTGAACATGCTGGTCAACAATGGCACTAATTTCAATCTATGTACTGCAAAAAATCTTCGTTTATTTCGGGATTAATTAATTTTGAACATAATCTGAGGATTCCATTCGCGTGATTTACAGATGTACACTCAAACATTTATATAATAAAAGTATTATTGTTTTCTGTTACATAGATAATCTAACGATAATTAAATTGGCAAGTCAGTGAAAATAATCATGACTGAAATATAATACTCAAAGAATTTTTCAAAGGCTCCAGTACTTAAGAAAAATGCATTCAGAGTATAGTATGGAAATCGGCCTTGCTCTATAATCATAAGGTCTATTTAAAGCTAGTTTTGATAGAAAATAAACAACTCAAGTTTAATTTTCTATAAAAAATAAATAAATAAATATGGAAACCTATATCAATCACAGTAAATTAAGAAATTGATTTTTTTGGTGAAAAATTAATATACCACAAAACTGTGTTTAAATATTCATGTTATTAGAAGGTGTGACCGTCTTCTTTGTTCAGTATTTATTATTTGTTTCTATACGCGTAGTGTGAATTTCTTAATAGTTCAAAAATGACTTTTGCATGAGAATTGATACTGCTCAGAAAGAAATGGATCATCAATTTCAACTGCCTTTTATAGTTACATTGTTTATTGGTAATCTCATTTCTGAGTAAGCTCCGCCCATTAATTAATAAATCCCGCCCACTGGGACTGCTGGGACTGCTTTCTGGGACCGCTGGGACTGCTGGGACCACTGTGGGACTGCTCTGGGACCGCTATGGGACTGCTCTGGGACTGCTTTAGCAGTCCCAGAGCAGTCCCAGAAAGCAGTCCCCGGGACTGCTCTGGGACTGCTTTGTGTCAGGTTGGGTCTGGTTGGTACTGTATACTATCTGAGGATGCTACCATATAAATATGACCAATCATGGCTTTGCTGTTCTTGAGAAGAAGATTTTTAAAGATTTTTCCTATATATTCCTATTTAAAACTTTGATCGCCCATTGTGGCCCCACCCGACCCCCGGGGGTCATGATTTGAACAAACTTGAATCTACACTATCTGAGGATGCTACCATATAAATATGACCAATCATGGCTTTGCTGTTCTTGAGAAGAAGATTTTTAAAGATTTTTCCTATATATTCCTATGTAAAACTTTGATGGCCCATTGTGGCCCCACCCGACCCCCGGGGGTCATGATTTGAACAAACTTGAATCTACACTACCTGAGGATGCTTCCACATAAGTTTCATATTTTCAAGCACAGTGGTTCTTGAGAAGAAGATTTTTTAATGATACCATTAATTTTTCACGAATTCTTAATTATCTCCCCTTGGAAGAAGGCGTGGCCCTTCATTTGAAGAAACTTGAATCCCCTTTACCCAAGGATACTTTGTGGCAAGTTTGGTTGAAATTGGCCCAGTAGTTCTGGAGAAGAAGATGAAAATGTGAAAAGTTTACAACAACGACGACGCCAACGCCAACGACGATGACAGACAACGGACAAATTTTGATCAGAAAAGCTCACTTGAGCCTTTGGCTCAGGTGAGCTAAAAATGTTTGGAAATCACCCTTGGATATTCCAAGAAGATAATGCTCCTTGTCACGTATCAAGACAATGCAATGCCTGGAAAGCAGACAATAATATTCCCATTTTACCTTGGCCTGCACAAAGCCCAGATATGAACATAATAGAAAATGTATGGAGAGTTTTGAAAATCAGCATAAATGAAATTAACAACAAGTCAGATCTTGAAAGAGTACTGTAGTGACTGAAATCTGGGCATCACTACCTTTACACTATATAAAAAGCCTATATCAAAGTATTCCAAAAAGAATTAGAGCAGTAATTAAAGCAAAGGGATACATAACAAAATACTAGTAATTTAAGGTAAGTGTGTGTTGTTGTTTGCATGCTATTTAAATTTTACATGACAACAGGCTAGCCTAACATTTAACGGCGGCGGCCATTTTGGGAACTAAATTATGGCCAACTACTGTACATCCTTTGCTTGAAAGTGTTCAAACCCAGCAATGTTTTAGATTGCTTTTTGAAATTTTCCTAGTATAAATATTAGTAGTCGTATACTTGCGATTTTATGTCTATTTTAAATAAAAAGCCAAACTGTGAAAAGTTACATTGAAATAGCTAAAGAAAGCTACCTGAAGAAGCTAAATAAAGCTATGGTAGGTAATTCCAGCTACGTAGTTAAATGTACTGATTCTGGATCTGGATCTGGATAATTACGTAGCAGGGCTTTCCGGCATAAATGCTAGGGGAGAGAGAGTTTGGGCTAGTCCCACTGGTGCACGGCTACTCGAAAAGTAGCCACTGTCTTTGCACACACAACACTTTCTTCAAGCTGGTTCCAATCTATCACAGTTCTTGGAAAAAATGAATGTCTGAATTGGTCCATTTTACAAGTGAACGGTTTGAAACATTTTGAATTATTTGTGGCTTGTGATTGTATTGGACCTGTGTTTAATTAATTACATTCCAAAATCCTTGAAACGGTAATGGTAATTAATTGAAGGTTTTGTGCATTATTGTAATTTAATTAATTTTCCTAAGTAATTGACCCCATCCCTGTCAGAAAACCATTTGTAAGATGATAAGTTTTTCTTTTCAAAACAGAAGAAATTCGAGACCAAAACGACAATGCCCAGAAGTATCGATTTTTTAAGCCAAATATTTATCCAGCATGAATCAATTCGTAATTTTTTTAAATATTTCAAACATAAGAAGCACGTCATATTAATCTTTACTTACTTCAGCCTTTGTTCCTGGGCGATTTCGTCGCAGAACCGCTGAGTTACTGTCAGCCATTTTCATTTTCATTGCGAAGGAAGGTGAAGGTCAACTATAGTGCTAAGTAGATAGCTGTTTCAATAGAATGTCGAGAATGCACAAATACAAATGTAAAACACAATGATTTCCTTTAGGCTTAAATAAGTGGCAATTATCCCTTGTTAACAGCTGTTGTTTTTTTTTTGTCCCCCGCTTTCACTGAAAGTGGGGGATATAATTTGGGTCTGTCTGTCCGTCCGTCCGTCTGTATTTCTGTCTGTCTGTAGATCTAACGCTTTCGTTTCTGCGCGATATCTCGAGAACCCTTTGAGCTTTCGCAATGAAATTTTGCATAGCAACTCCCTATGGCCTAAAAAAGAACCCTAATTATTTTGAGGTCAAAAGGTCACAGGTCAAGGTCATAAATTCTGTCTGTTTTAACACTTTCGTTTCCGCGCGATATCTCGCGAATTCTTTGAGCTTTTGCAATGAAATTTTACATAACAACTCCCTGTGGCCTAAGACCCCCTATTTATTTTGAGGTCAAAAGGTCAAAGTTCAAGGTCGTAAATTCATAAATTCCGTCTGTGTGTAACACTTTCGTTTCCGGGCGATATCTCAAGAAGCTTTTGAGCCTTTGCAATGAAATTTTATACCATAACTCCCTAGGGCCTCTCTTGCCCCGGGTGCGTCGATTTACCCAAATGGACCCAAATGGAACCCAAATGGACCCAAATGGAAACACAAATGGACCCAAATGGAAACACAAATGGACCCAAATGGAATATTAATTATATATTATCGTATTCTCAAGTTGTTACTTATTTAAAATGATGAAAACAATAAACTTGCAAATGGAAAATATTAATTATTCATTTCTAATATTGTATTTTAAAATACGAATTTTTTTTTTCTATTTGAAATAACTTTTGCATATCATTGAATACAAAATGGAAGAATTTCATATTAAAGTTTATAGATTTCATGGCCGTAGGAACCGGGGGGGGGGGGGGTGCACGAGAGAGGCGCACTACCCCCCCCCCCCAATAATTTTGCCGATGTATAGAATACTATAGAAAATTAATTCGTATTTTAAAATACAATATTAGAAATGAATAATTAATATTCTCCATTTGTAAGTTCATTATTTTCATCATTTTAAATAAGTAACAACTTGATAATACGATGATATATATTTAATATTCCATTTGGTTTCCATTTGGGTTCGTTTGAGTTCCATTATGGTCCATTTGTGTTTCCATTTGGGTTCCATTTGTGTTCATTTGGGGTCCATTTGAGTAAATCGACGTGCCGCTTGCCCCTCTCAAAGTGTTTTTTTTTTATTTATTTATTATATTAAAAGTCGCTTGGCACTATTTTTAGCACAGGGGCATGTCAGAGTTATTACGTACAATACAGGTTGTCGGCGGACTTTATATTCTAATTACATCTATTAGAACTGTTTAGTAAAGGCTAAATTAGACAACATTTATTGATTAAAATTTTGACAATATCAAACATAAATATAAACATTATATGTGACTTAATGTTTGCATTTAATTTACTGTATATTCAAGTGCCTCCGTGGTCTAGTGGTATGTTGCTCGCTTTGCAAGCGAGAGGCCCGGCTTCAATCCCCGGACGATTCTTTTTTTTATTATTATTTTTTTTTCTGGAATTACTAGATGATACTATTCAACATGTGAAATGAAAAAGTTATGATGTCTGGCGTGTACAAACTCATAAAATCATTATTACAGTGTGATAAATATTCTGTATATAGCCGGTATATTAAAAAGAATCTTCTATACACATATTAAAGATTATTATACTTTCATGTTAAATACTAAAATCTGATTGGTTTAGACGCATTTAACAATCCGTAATGTTACCCTCAGAGTTAGCAACACACTTGACAACGGGTAACATTACGAAAATATCACATGCGTTCAAATCATGCGCGTACGGTTCACCGTAGAATTCTCAAAACGTCGGTTGTGCGTTTGAAAGAAGCCGAATAAACTACGTCAATAAAAGCTTCCGTCCGATGTAGCTTACCTGAAAACAACAAACGACAGACGAAACATCCTTGCGAGTGCACACTTTAGATGATAAAGGACTTTTTGAGTAGCAAACAAACAATAAAGAGGTTGGTAAATCCTTTCCGAAGCTTTCTTATTGAGAAAAATAGAAGCGGGGAGTTTGAAAGCTTTCTAAACGTGAACTTAACGACGATCTCCGAATTTTTTTATGACACCCGAAATCAATAAGACATTCAGTATAATAAAATAAATAGTGCACGTTTTTGAGGGTAACAGTTGAAATTGACACCCCTCGGAAAACCATTGTCAACCTCCGCTGACGCGTCGGTTGACAATGGTTTTCCTTGGGGTGTCAATTTCAACTGTTACCCTCAAAAACGTGCACTATTTATATAATAAGCAATCAAATCTTTATATCCATATTGGCATTTTTTATTTCAATATACATGTATACATTTAATAACTCTACAAATCCGGGTCCGACCCCCCCCCCCCCGAACTGCGCATGCACTTCTTTTTTTTTCCTAAGCAGGGGACACAAATTCTCTGAATTAGCTTGTATATTTTTGCAACAGCTGGTCACCGACCCAAACACATATATTACGCACAGCGTTTTTATTAGAGATTGCACAACGCACGACAACGGACAAAAACAGATTGACTCAGTGACCTAAAAATCGAAACTGCATTTTATGTATTGATACATCGTATCAACACGTCTGTATTATAATACGAAGAGAATAATACAAACCATATGCGGGGATCTAAAGGGGGGTCGATATATCGATTGGTCTAGGGCTGATACAGGATGTTATATGGAAAAGGGTGACTATGTTTATTATGTTTATTACATACTTAATAATAACTTACAGCTCACAACTTCTTGAGCAAAAACAAATAAGCACCGAATACCATATAATATCAACATGATCAAAGAACAGTAATTTTTAAAATTATGAGAAAAATATGTGAATCATCAGGTTTAATCTACAAAAGGTATGATACTTGTATGAATCCATATCAGCCCTGTAGATGTATATCAGCCCTACAGGATCCGTATCAGCCCTGGAAGCTGAGACCCTCGATCGGGCCTTAATTTTTTCAGATATTTCTTTCTACGATAAATTTAAGATTTATTCCATTACTAAAGTCCGATCTAATGGAGAGAATGAACATTACAGTTATCTTCAAATAAAGATGACTGTATAGGCATTTTCTGTCCATTCATGTACTCTGGGACTTGTTAAAAGTCAGGAGGTTTAGACGCAATGTGGAGTGATCACTGTCAACGCTTGCTGGATTGGTGTCTGCAGACACATAACCACATTTTTTCCTAATCCCAGAAAAGAGACTTCCCATGTGGTTCAAAGTGTGTGTGTGTGTGTGTGTGTGTGGTAAGGGAAGTGCATTAACAGTAATAAATGGTTCACAGTCTATACATTACTTCATAGCAGAAATCAAAATACAGATTGCAAGAAAAAAATTCCGTACGTATAAGTGTAATATATACTAATAATAAAATCACAAACAAAATAATAAAAGTACTCCTTTATTTAATTATTATTGTAAAGTATTCAACAAAATGTTGACCTCTCTCTCTCTCTCTCTCTCTCTCTCTCTGATACCAATTATTAATTAATATTAGAATAAAAAATTGATGTGTAGGTAAATTCGGATATGTAGATCCGGCTTAGAAAGATCTTCCTTCAGTTACCGAGCTTCTTGTCTGCTACTCCTGTTTATAGTGTTTGAGGGTTCTAGCGGAGGGATCAGTGGTCTCTGTCCACCTGGGCATCCAGAAGTAAGGTATCCACTCAGCCTGTCCTGGATAAAACTTCTCAAATATTTTCCTGTAGTAGAGAGCCTCCTTCGTTAGGGGAGTGTTGTAGGGATATTTAGCAGGTGCTTCCTGTAATTCCTTGTCATTTATCTGTGGTAAATATATAATAATTGTTTTAGGAATTAGACTGGAATACTTGAATTACAAAACACTGATTTTATGATTATTTCATTCAAAAAGGCTAGGCGATCAATCCAAAAGATCCGCCTAAAAATAGGAAATAGGATTTTCTAGCTATTAACTTATTTTAAAATTATTTAGTAAAGAAATAAACCACGCGTTCATATATATTGTTTGGGCTCGTCTTTCACTCTGTTTGTCTGTAATTTGTCAATTGAATCTTGTTCGTAACTCAAGTATTAAACAATTTGTTGACTTTATATTTGACATTATCTTCTCATAAAAGATATGTGCAAACCTGACTAATTTTGCAATAAAAATGCACTAGAGACTCACGAAAAAGTTCTTGGACATGGCATTTTTTTTCATTTTTTAAAAACGGTCCTTGATATACACATTTCATATCAAATATATGTAACATATGTTTGAAAATTCAAGTCAAAAATGTGTCTTGATGAAAAATTTCAAGATTCTAAATGTTCGCTGTCATTTAAATTACTGTTTGGTTAATTAGTTTTTCGTACGGCTATTTTGTAATAATTTTCATTAATGCTTTCTGATCCCGTATTTGTTTAACAAAACGTCTAAAACCTACATTTTATCGAACTATCATTTGGTGTTAAGGTCAGACGACACGTTCCTCAAATATTCGTTTGTATTTCTTGGTATTATTAAAAAATTATTCATAATTGTCATTCTCTTTGTGATTTGTAAATTGAATTTAATATATTTTTGAAAAAAAATAAGTACACTAAAAATTGTGACATTGGCAATTTATAAGATTACCCAAGTTATTAAATTCCCGGTAAGGTACCTCGATTTTTTGCGAGGAAAGTTTTTGTTTAAGTAGCAACACATCAATGACAAATTCTTGGGAAAAATTATATATTTTCAAGGAACGTGTCGACTGACCTTAAGTAGAATTAATCCTAAAGGCAATTTTCACACCTTGACCACGACAAGATTTACGAGCGATTTTAGTATCAATGTAAGTTGTTAATCTGAAAGATAGATTTGTCAAACTATAGAATGTCACCCTTTCATCTCATTTCTGTGTGACACTTAT